GTCTGTCTTGCTATCTACCCATAGCTGAATGGAAAGAAGAGGATTCGCACCTTTCGCAAGGGTATTAGCACGTAAGTGAATGTGATGGATTTGACCGGGATTGGAACTCGGTTCTCCGATTCCTCAATCCTATACTATCCATTACTCCACCCTGCCTCCTATATATATATATATATATATATATATATATATATATATATATATATATATATATATATATATTATTATTATTATTATTATTATTATTAGGAGGAGGAGGATGAAATAATAATTTCTGTCGCTTGTACATACTCGCATGAACCGGCTTCTAATTCTCTGGATGGAGCGGCTTGGGGATAGTAGTCTTCGCTAGTGGGGGCACAGTCCTGGGCTATGGGAACCTCGGAAAGGTTCCACCACGATATATATGATCGAACGGCGCTATATCGTGTCTAATTCGTTACCTCTTCGTCACCGAGTCCTGTTGATACAGTTGCTATGACGTTTGCCTCATATCGTAACTTTCAATTTCGGGTTTCAATTCTCGGTAGTGGATGCGCACTGCTGATAAGTCCAAAGTATAGGACGAAACGGCCGTCCAGTGATTTCTGCATTCTTATATATATATATATATATATATATATATATATATATATATATATATATATATATATATATAGAGAGAGAGAGAGAGAGAAAAGAGAGAGAATATGCATTAATGATTCATAAAAGTAAATCAATTTTGAAATAAATGCAATTTACAATTTATATTATATATTCAAAATCGTAGGTAGATCACCGATAAGAAATTATAAGAAAGTGGAATGTATTGTTTCAGCAAGTGAAGCATCCAAAGTTGAAAGATTTGTATTGGAAAGATCCGAATCAAGCTGAAAATATGAATTTGAACATCTGTGTAGTATATTATCAGACGATAGAAAGGATGACCCAGAAAATCGAAGGGAAACGGATATGAACTGTGCTTTGATAAAAAAAATGCTAAGAGATCGGAACATTTTATTAGAAACAAAGAGCGGAGACCTTATTTGCTATGTCAATATTCATCCTGTTGTACATCAGTGAATGTTGGGAAACTTCCTTACAGATGAAGAAAACAATTGAAACGACAGAGATGCGATACGGTCAGACAGGGGCTGAAGAGACCATGGAATGGACATACAAAGTGGGAGATAATGCTAATTAGAAAGACGCTAATAATTAAAATGAGAAAGTAACAGTTGAAATTTCTCTGACATATTATAAGGAAGGACGCACTGATGCAGCTCTTCCAAACTCTGAGGTGAGTTTCATAGTTGAAGCGGAATAGGATAGCAGGGAAAGAGGAAGAGGATAGCAGGTGAGACGGAAGTGCATAGCAGGTGAGGCGTAAGTGAATAGCAGGTGAGGCGGAAGTGCATAGCAGGTGAGACGGAATGATTACATGACAATCAAAGATTTAGAAACAGTTTTTAAAAATTCATAAATTAAAAAGTTAAATTAAAAAGTAAAATATAAATTAGTAATTTTCAAAATTTAAATTATTATTATGGATTACTTGTAACTACATGCATGAATCTCAGTATAAATAGTTATAAATAATTATTGAACGATTTTATCGTTGTGATATTTTTGAATTATGTCAAGTATTAAGAATATAGTAAGTAGGATCAGCAAAATGGAGGAGAGAGTTATCAATAATAATTTTTTGACTTCGGATCCTCGGTTATCTCCCTTTAACACTGTCTTTGTAGGTTGCTCTATGAACGTATAAAGAGAGAGATACAAAGTTTACATCTTTTGTACATGGTATTCAAAGCATTTGTCTGTAGAACAACTCTGGAGATTTAAGTTTCTTCTTCATCTGTGAAGAGATTATCCAACATTCACTGCCATTAAAGGTGATTAGATATTTTATAGCAGTTTGGTATTTTTCTTTGTTTGCAAGAGTATTTTTTAATCTCTGAATATTTTGCTTCGTTTCTTAATGAGCAAGTGGCCACGTTGTTAAACCGTAAATGGTCGATTTGCCAAGGACATGTCGTCTTGGCTATATCAGCCTAGAGCAGTGGTTCCCAAACGGTGTGGCGCGCCCCATTGATGCAGCGGAAGTGAATAGCAGGCGAGGCGAAATGATTGAAGGACAATCAAAGATTTTAAAAAATTCATATGCCAAAAATAAATATGATTTCAAAATTTAAAATATTATTATGGATTACTTGTAACTGCATGCATGAATCTCCGTATAGTTATAAATAATTATTTACCGAGTTTATCGTTGTTATATTTTTGAATTATTTTGTTGGTCTGTATTTTTTGGGGGGGGTTTGTCTTACAGCATATCAACCTCAATGGGTTATTTAATGCCGACAACATTTTTATTGCTTATAATAATTATTTACAAAAATGTATTTCTGGTAATAATATTATTTAATAATTTATTGCTGGTATTAAAACCTATTTTACACTTCCATAGCGTTTTGAACACAGTTTGAAGAGTTAAATATTTGCCCATCGCTGGGACCCTAACAGGTGCTACCACTCCGAGTCAGGGTGGACCTAGAAACAACAGCAATTCAGAAGTGATTCCCCGGCCCTCAAAACCTCCTGATCAGGTTACTGTTGGATATATTTTATCGCCTTACCCAGGGCACGGATGTAGTTTATCGCCATACCCAGGACGGGGATACAGTTTGTCGTCATATCCAGGACGGATTTTCCCTTTGGTGAGGCGTGAGCAAATTTTATTTCAGAAATTACCGGCCAGAGAAGAATTTTGCCAACCACATTTTGCAACGGGATATAGAATGAAAACGTGTAATATACCTAATTGTATATTAGATATATCATGGTGAATGCATAGAATCGTAGCGACAAGGATTTATGGTTGTCGTTGCTCTTAAGAGCAGGAAGTTGTGGAGAGTAATGATAATTTACTTCCTGTATTGACACGACGCATAACTGATGGTGTCTAATGTGTGGTAAGATTGTTGATTCCCCAGGGGAGTATCAGCGTATATTGATAGCTTGCTCGAAAATATTGTTAATTATTTTTACTGTAGATTTGCATTTTAATCGATTCTGTTATGGGGTTTGGGTTGAAAATAAGGAAGAACATTGTTGTCAATCATCAGGAATTAATGCTAACCTTTCAGACTGAATAGGGTTATTCAATTCGCAATGATTGTTGTCAAAAGAAAGAGTAAAAAAAAATAATGTGACGTTTTTCATTCCGGTTGTTAATTTCATGTAGCCATCGCTGAGTTCAAATTATTTATCCCAGCAGAGAACAGCATGGTTTCCGATGTATCCGTTTCCTCTGCCAAGGGCGAACATTATTCGGCGTTCATTTTTGGCTTTCTCCAATTATTTTTTTTTCAATTCTTTTACCGCTTTTTTTTTTCTGCCATTCTTTTTTTCTTCTTCTTTACACATTTTCCCGTAGCATTTTTCTTTCTCGGAGAAAAGCACGAAAGCAAATCATATGGAATAAACGTTTTCGCATGTTGGGTTATTTCATGACAAGATGGCCATAGGCAATTTTGTTGTTGTTGCTGTTGTTTGTTTGTTTTTATAAAAGGGGTAGGACTGTAGAAAAGATTGACCCAGGATGAACATCCCAGCACGTGTGGGATGGTATTGAAGACAGAGGAAACAAATCAGGTCTGTTGCAAAAGAGGTAAATGCAAAATAAACTAACTTCTCTTAGGAAGTAAGGATAACAAGTGCGCTGTAGCAAAAAGAAAACAAATAAACGAAAATTTCAACAATTGATGACTGATAATTATTAGTAAATAAACCATAGCTTTAGCTAATTAAATATTATATTGTTTAATCAAAATACGTATTATTGTAGCCATTTTCCTTGTCACAGCAGATCAGAATATTTTACGGTAGACGCTGTTAAATGTGCAAATCAAGATACACTCCAAAAATACTTACAAAATTTGGCAGCGGGTTCCTCACACACACAAACACACGCAGGCACGCACACACACATACACACACACAGTTACTTAATATATATTTATATATTTGAATATTGGTTCTTTGCTCAGCAAACTTTCTTTATTACCTTTTAAGTTGTATGTGACAAACATGGGCAGATTTTATTCAATTTTTATAATATTCTTGCTATTTTTCCTTTATGGGAACTAAGTCAGTGTAGAAAATGTTCAGTGTGTCTAGAGTCCGAAGCACTTTCGACTTTCGACTAGCTCATCAGCCAAGTGTTTTCGTTGTAAGTACATTTTTCTATGTTTTTATTATAATTTTTACCGAAGAGATTGTAATAACTTTCAGTCGTGTTGTAGGGGAATAGTAAAAATTGCATATTAAAATCCCTTCAGAATAAAACAATTTAGAAATGTTCAACCACCTTTAAATTAAATCATATATATATATATATATATATATATATATATATATATATATATATAGAGAGAGAGAGAGAGAGATGGTAATGATGATAATAGTCTTTTTTATTCAGGAAATATTCGGCATTCATTGCATTAATAGTTAGCCTTACTGTTGTTTGTAATTTATAATCTTTTTATCTTCAAAAGATTTTTCTTTAATCCGTTAAGTGTTATCCCTCTTTTAACTACTGGTGAGCTTTTTTCTTTCTTGATCTTTGGTTGATGACATCATCTTCATTTCATCATTATTTTGCTTCCAATTATACAGTTTTGTTATCTGGTAACAAATCTCCGTCATTCTGTGACGTCAGTCTATAATACCTGATGAAGGATTATCTTCTTTAAGACGTAGATAATTTATTTGCTTGAAGTCATTTTAAATCATTGATCTGAGATAGCGGCTTTATATTGCTGATCGTTTAGACATTTATCAACATTTTGGATATATATGACATCGACATAATATTCTCTATCTGACGAGGTTATTTTGGAACAGGACTCGAGTTAATATTTTGTTTCAGTAGCAGATTGCGTTGTTACACAAAACTGCCTAGACCGGAGCTTTGCTTATGTCCAATACTAAACTTGTTATAACTGATCCATACACTAAAATAGATAGATATATAGATATATAGATAGATAGATAGATAGGTAGACATCGAGGGATACAGCTGAAAAGAAAGAAAAAAAAAGAAAGAAAGAAAAAGGATGTGTATATACAAGCAGGCAGGGTGTTATATAAACGGAACAACAAACCGAGATAGATAGATAGATAGATAGATAGATAGATAGATAGATAATGATCAGCATAAAGTGAATAGATATGATAGAAACATAAAAAGGGAGAAATATGAAAAGAAAGAAAAAAAGAAAGAAGAAAATGGATGGATGTATAGAAAAACGTAAGAATAGGCCGTGAGAGAAATAAATAAATAAATAAAGAAAGAAAGAAAGAAAGAAAAAAGACTAGAATGCATATATATAATCACATAGAGAGAAAGGCAGACATAGATAGATAGATAGATAGATAGATAGATAGATAGATAGATAGATATGAAAAGATCATGAAAGAAAAAAGAAAGAATGAAAGAAAAAAAAACAGAAAAAGACTGGGATGCATATATGTGGTCATCTATATATTTATAAAGGGCAGTGATCTGTAATGTGTGTGTGTGTGTGTGTGTGACTAAAAATAAAAAAAAAACTACAGTAATTAAATAAATAAGTAAATATATATACAGACTCATAATCACCCGAGCCAACTTTTTGCAAAAACATTACCATCGTGTGGTTTGTATTTATAAAAATATTTTAAAACTAAAACGCATGAGAATGCATTTGAAATTCTCAGAATTAAAAAGTAAAAACGAACGGTAATATTTCTTATTCCCGATTAGGATTAACGTTAATTTTTACTTTTTAATTCTGGTGATACTTTCGAAACGCTATACTAGTGAGTATTTTTAAAATTTCTATTGTCTGGAATTTATTTTTACATCTATAGTAAATAAAAAAGCGTAACTTTAAAAAAGTGAATATTAAAACAAAATAAATTTAAAAGAAGAATATTAAATACAATTATTTGACAAAACGTTTAACATTTATTTATTCATATTTGAGTGTATATATATATATATATATATATATATATATATATATATATATATATATATATATATATATATATATATGTGTGTGTGTGTGTGTGTGTGTGTGTGTGTCTGCTTACAAGATAAATATACACACAGACTTCCCATGTACGGAGCCCCATCAACGGACGTCCGATGCAACGGTGAGAACCTACAGACCAAATAAAAGAAAAATCATCAGGAAACAAATAAGATCGAAATTGTGAGCGATGTCTTTCTTATTAGGTCTCAAGGTGACAGCATGGCGGCGGGGGAGGTTCTTTCTCTTGTAACAAAGACAGAAAGTTCGATGCATTGGTACGTCCGTAAGAAATTAGCTGTGAGAAATCTACTATTTTTGTTATTTTGATTAATATATCTATATTAAGTATATATTTATTTATGCAATATATACATGTTTATAGCATTTACTCTTTATATATGATCATAACCACTGGCAGTTACTATAGTGGTTTTATAACTAAAGAATAACCACCCCTCCCCCTATTAGTCCATGGTGATGAGAGGCTTGTCTGTATATCACCCTAAAGTGTAATCTTTTTTGTATGTGTGTGTGTGCTTGAATTTTTGTTGTATTAATAGTTTTTGGCTATTTTATGGAAAATAAGTTTGTATTCAATCTTTAAAAATAAGCTTCATTGCTTTTTGGTTTGAGACTAACAGAAAAAAGTAAATTATCTTTAAATTAATTTTAAAAAGAATCTTTAGCGAACCATAATTTTTGAAAATTAATTTCAATAAAATATGATTAAATTCCTGAAACAAATATTCATCTCTACATATGTTTGTCTAAATTTCTGAGATGAGGTATTATGTACACTATTTTACATTATTCGGACTATTGTCCTCATCTTTGTTGCCATATTTATCACAACGTTTTGGCCGTTGTACGCTCCGGCCTTCTTCAGTTCGAATAATGTAAATAGTGTGCTACTTATGTTGACCGTAACTCAGGTCTGTCTCTGCTAATTTTTATTTCCCTAAAATTTTTCTTTTTTTTTCAAATACAAATATAACTTGAAATTTAGACATAATCGTTTTTCCAAATTAAATTCTTAATGTATCTTGCTTGCTTCTACTCTCTTTCAAAATAGTTAGCAATTAAATTAATTTACAGAGAAATGTTAGCTTCTTTAACGTAATGTTTAAAAGTTAAATAATTTTAAAAACAGCTTAATGAACGTTTATCAAAGTTTGATTTGTTAGAAAACAACATTAACAGAGTATTTATGTTAGTATATAAATCAAAATATAAAGTGTCTTTTTGAATAAAAATATGGAGATACTCAGCTCCCTAAGCACCTCCCCACAACATCCGAGCGTGATATTGGTAGTATGGTATTTTTACTGAATTTATTTATTTTGTAAAAAACAAAAACAAAGGAACAATGAAGCTTATTTGTAAAGACTGAATGAAAAATTATTTCCCATAAGATGGCTTAAATATTATCAATATTTTACCATTAATAAACTATTATTAAGAGAAATTCCGAGTAACGCCGAATATCTCCGAGTATCTCCGCTAGTATAGTGATAAAAGAAAGAACAGGCATAGATAGATACACAGGTAGATAAAAGAGTGAGATAGATAGATAGATAGACAGATAGATAGATAGATAGATAGATAGATAGATAGATAGATAGATATGAAAAGAACGTGAAAGAAAATGACTACGATCCATATAGAGTGATTTTCAAAGCGTAAATCAGATATGCCACATGGCCGAATGTAGGGGTTACCCTATGAGGATCGATATCAGTAATCAGTCGTAATTGTTCTAGCAATACAAGCTTTCTAATCATTACACCGCCTCGAGGTGCCTCCAGGATGCGTATATGGTCATAAACAGAGAAATACCATAACAGATATATATATATATATATATATATATATATATATATATATATATATATATATATATAATATAAAAAGGCAGAATGTGTGTGTGTGTGTGTGTGTGTGTGTGTAACGAATGCACGGCCGCAATTTTCGACGGATTTTCACCAAAATTTACATGCACATGCTCCAAGCCAGCGGAAAGACCAAGGCCAACTTTGCAATTTCCAAACCTACATCGATAGTGGAAATTATCGATTTTTTTTTTCATGCTTCTACGGCAGTTTTCATTTAGTTTGCGGCCATTTTCTACTGGCCAGAGTGAGAGCCATTAGCTGGCTGCCACGAATAGGCAGGAAGATTCTATTGGCCAGCGTGAGAACCAACAGCTGTCTGACACGAATGTTAACTAGTCTGCAAAAGATAGCTGGAAACAGAATGAGATACACTCATATTAAACGTGTGCTTGTACTATTCAGATAGTAAAACATCTATATAAACATTAAATATAATCTTCTTCCTATGTCGTTCACTTCAGTCAAATCAAATTCGGTAGAATATAATTAAAAGGCTGCATTTTTTTAAAAAAATATTATCTCCTAGATTTGTATAAAGACATGCCACTGTTATTATATAAATCATTTAACAATCTTTTTTTAACGAACATCGTCCATGTCAGTAAAGCCTTCCATAATCGGAGGTTATCAAATTATTTAAAATAATTGTCTTCTGATGGATATTTTCGAAGCAAGTTGCAGTTCGATAGAATAGGAAATCCCAAATATTTGAATGGGGAAATATTGGCCACTTTGTAAAATCAGGAATTGAAATCGTGGCGATTGTCTCCATGAGATGATAAGGCATAAAGATCAAAATGGATCACATATTAGCAAGGCATTTAAAGTAAAAATGAACGTAAAAGAGTCATAATCATCATCCTGCGGCCTCAGTCGAGATTGAACTCATTACACCTCTCCAGTATTCCCAATCCGTCATAGCTCCTAAAATATCATCCGTAGGGATCAATGTGTCTCGTTTTATCCTATCTGGAAAGGTTAACTTGCGTGATCGATTGTCAGATGATGGGTGCCTCCAGAGTACAAATGATGGCACAAGTTCATCTGTGGCACGTGCCCAATGCCCGGCGAACTGGACACGTCTTTTGTAAACTAAGGTTGATACTCTCGGCAAGTCTCCATATATCATTTCTAGAGTTGGGCGGTTTCGCCATGAGAGATTAAGCACTCTTCTTAAAAGACGTATAACATCCATCTAAATGGCACTGTTGTTTTGCTGAGAGAGTCCAAGTTTCAGAACCATAGACGTAAAAAGAGTAGAAGAGGCTAATCAATGGTATTCAAGATGTAACATCTATATATATATATATATATATATATATATATATATATATATATATATATATATATACAGGTTGGACAAAATTATTGGAACAGTTGCAAAATCCACTCCTGTATTTCAAAGACCTATTATATTAAGAACTTTAACTAAAACTTTGTAATTGCAAGTTATATCTATTGTAAATACGTTTATTTATCGAATTTAGTGTCTTTGTTTTATTTATTTTTAGAATTTAGTCAAATTTAAGCTAAATGCGTGACCTCTCCGAGTTCGAAAAAGAGCAAATTGTTGGAGCTCGCATGGCAGGAGCCTCGATCACTAATGGTGCTGAACTGTTTGGTTTTTCAAGAGCTACCATATCAAAAACACTGATGCAGTTCGAGAAACATAGCAAGACCTCTAGCAACCGTAGCAATTCGGGCCGGACTTGCAAGTTACTGACACGGACTGACGTGCATTGAAACGCAATGTGGCAAAAAATCATCGGACAAATGCGGCCAAATTGACTGCTGAGTTGAATAACCATCTGAATAGTTCAGTTTCTATTAAAACTATTCACCGTGAGCTCCATAAGGCTGCATATCATGGAAGAGCCGCTGTGAGGAAACCTCCTCTCTCCCCTCGCAACATTCAAAAGAGGTTGAAGTGGTGCAGAGATCACAAGGCATGGTCTGTAGACCAATGGAAGCAAGTCATATTCTCAAACAAGTCCAGTTTTTCTCTTTTCCCAACTTCAGGGAAAGTTTATGTGTGGAGGCAGCCCAAAGAAGCTTACAACCCTAACTGCCTTCTTCCAACAGTGAAGCATGAAGGTGGATCAGTGATAGTTTGGGCCGCCATATCATGGAAATGTCTCAGTCCAATAGTTGCCTTGCATGGTAGAATCAACAGCAAAGATTACCTGAAAATTTTGGGAGATCATGTTCATCCAATGGCCAAGACTTTATTCCCTGATGGTGACTGCAACTTCCAAGACGATAATACATGCCGCTCGAGTGGTTAAGAATTGGTATGAAGAGCATGAAAGTGGGCTAGAACACAGGAAGTGGCCTCCCCAATCTCAAGATATCAATATTATTGAACATTTGTGGTGCATTTTGGAGCAACAAGTTAGGAGCCGCTATCCCCCACCGTCGTGTAGTGAAGAGCTGGGGAAGGTTTTATTGGAAGGATGACTGAAAATTCCTTTGGATGAAGTCAGGAAGCTGGATGATTCCATTTCTAGACGTATTAAAGCTGTCTGTGAGGCTAAAGCATGACCAACTCCATATTAAATAAATTTTCTTTGAATTTACAAAGTGTTCCAATTATTTTTTCCAACCCCTGTATATATATATATATATATACGGCCTGACGATTGCGCTCAGCATGAAACAGCCTGTCGCCTCTGTGTTTTGACTTCAATGTAAACCTTTATATTTATATACGCTCTATGGCTGATATTGAGCACTTTATACCATAAATATAGCATAACTTAAAAGTATATATATATATATATATATATATATATATATATATATATATATATATATATATATATATATATATATATATATATATAAAGTTTCGTGTGTATCGAAAAGTTTCGTTATGATTTTCTCGGAACCATTGTTTGCGACTGATTTTTATTTCGTTGGTGAATTTTGCCAAAGCCCACTGCATAAATTCATTAGATTTAATGAAAATCTTGATGTATTTGTTTAATAAATCGTACTCGTGATACCAGGGGTTATATAAACAACTAGTCATTTTAGGTGTGTCTTTATTGTGTCTGCGTCAATAAATATTTCCGGTTAAGCGTACCAACCTATATGCATGTGAGCAATGAAAATGCATGTAGTCGCACGTGTTTCATTTTAAAAAGTACGTTGCGTTAAACTGCATTTATAAAACATATTTTTTTGTTTTCGATTGTTTTTTTTTCAGAGGTTTTCTTAATAAATAAAACGCGCGGATGCTCGCAATAACAAAAATGAGAGACGCTTCACTGTACGCCTCTCGGCAACGGAGCTTCGCAAAAGATCGCTCACGTATAATGTGATGCTTCCAAGGAAAAATAAAGCGTGTAGATACACAATTTGGCTTTCAATAAAGCTGTGTTATTTTTTGTTGTTTTTTTTTTAAGAGAAAACAAAACATAACAAATAAGAAAGAAAAAATTCAACCAGTCGTTATCTGCCGCTCCGATATGAAATATTTTCATTTCCGAATTCATTTATTAAAATTCTAGGCTCCATGTTGTTCGGCTGGCTTTTTCTTTCTCGTAAGTGACGCAATTGTTTGAGCTGTCATCTGAGAATCAAACACGGTCCTCTTTATTAATTAGAGAATCGTTATTTTATAACTTGTAGGCATTTAGTGTGGTGTGTTGCTTATCGGAACGAGGAAAAGACAACGGATCACTGAGTTCAAATGCTGACTAATTCTCTTACCGTTAAAAGTGACATAAAACTAAGCTATTTTCCCGCCATAATCACAATCTAATTCGTCACAAGTTATGTTGACTGAGAAAGAAAAATGAGAATGAGATATTATGTTTTTAAAAAGACTTAATAAAATATTGCTCGATGTAAGATTGGGTTGTACATGAAACATATATATATATTAATTAATTCATCGAGTCTGATAGAAATCTCCACAGAATGCAGGAAGCACTAGACGGCCGTTCCGTCCTATATTTGGGACTCATCAGCATTGCGCATCCACTACCGAGAATTGAAATCCTGACAGTTAGGTTGTCAATCGAACATCATACCAACTGTTCCAAATTGGCCTCCGTGACGAAGAGATTCCAAATCAGACTCAACTTAGCGCCGCGCGCTCACACACACACACACACACACACACACACACACACACACACACACACACACACACACACACACACACACACACACACATATATATATATATAAGTGAACATTGAAGTCAACACTTCGAGGACACGAGTGCTGTTATTTTTCTCGGCTATTTATATATACGGGTCAGTAGTGTATTGTAGTATTGGAGGTAGTCTAATTTGGCGGTTATCTTACCGGAAGTCGTTTATTTATTTATTTGTTTGGGTTAAATTATTTTGCTTGTCATTATTTAGTTTTCTTTACTTTTTTTTTTATTTTATTTCTTATCTTATATATTTATTTATTTATTTTTATTCGTTGTTTTTATTAACATAGCAAGAATTGGTTTATATAGTTTGTTTAATAATTTTGCTTTGGAAGATTATTAAAGCTATTTATTCAATTTTGGGGTTGATTGTCATAGTTTATTCTAAATATTATTTTGACGGGAGCCGAGAAAAATAACAGCACTCGTGGCCTGACGATTGCGTCCAGTATGAAACGAACTGTCGCCTCTAAGTGTTGACTTCAATGTTCACTTTTATATTTACACACGCTCTAATAGCACTTTACCCCATAAATATAGCACACCTTAAGACTATATTTCTTTAATATATATATATATATATATATATATATATATATA